AGCAATTGTGTGTGGGGTGAGAAAAAATTGGCCCAGAGTAAAGCCATGACAGAGGGGAAGGAGGTGTTCCAGGCACCAGAGCTGAGATTCCCCTGCAACCCATGGGGAAGCCCATGGTGAGGCTGCTGTGCCCCTGCAGCCCATGGATGTCCACGGGGGAACAGACATCCACCTGCAGCTCATGGAGGACCCCATGCCGGAGCAGGGAGATGTCCAAGAGAGGCTGTGACCCCGTGGAAAACCCATGCTGGAACAGGACCCTGGCAGGGACCTGCAGACCCATGGAGAGAGGATCCCATGCTGTAGCAGATTTACTGGTAGGACTTGTGACCCTGTGGGTGACCCATGTTGGAGCAGGCTGTGCCTGAAGGACTGACCCCATGGAAAGGGACACACGGTGGAGCAGTTCATGAAGAACTGTTTTTAAGCAGAGTTCTTTGTCCCTTCCTTTGATCTCTGTTGTAGATGGAAGCTGATGGTATCATTCTTGCCTTTAAATTCTCTTTTGAATGCAAAAAGATGTTATCAGGTGTGTTAAACAGGTGTTGCTTAATGCTTATGCTTATGGGAAGTTTTTGCATTTTACGTCCTGCTTGGCAATTGTTTAGGCAGACATGGCACCTGAGCTGCAGATCACATCACATTTGGCCACAACCTTGTTTTCTGCATGTCCTGAGCTGAACTTTGCTTGAAACTGAGTAGGGGGCACCTCCCAAAACGAGCACCAGTGACCCCTGAAGAGGCCCACGCAGGCACAGTAACAAGTATTGCATAAAATTGCGCAAGCTAAATCAGTTTGCATTAGGTAGTCGGTAACTATGTATTAGATAGGCAAGTTTATATAAATTTTAGTATATAAATTACTTTACTTTTTAATCCCTGGTGTGCTTGGTTTGTGAAAAACTTCCACCTTTCCCCCTGTGCAGAATAAACAATATCTGTTTTCTAAACCTGACTCTTTGTACGTGATTACAGAGTTGCTAAATTTTGGCAACAGAAGGACTCATACTGGATAAGTTCATGGAGAACTGTCTCCCATGGGAGGGACCCCACATTGGAGCAGGGAAAGGACTCCTCTCCCTGCGCAGTGGCAGGAACAACATGTGATGCACTGACCGTAATCAACATTCCCTGCCTCCCTGTGCTTCTAGGGGGGAGAAGGTAGAGCCTGTGAAGGAGGGAGGGGTGGGGGGAAGATGTTTTTAAGATAACATAGAATCAAAGAATCAACCGGGTTGGAAAAGACCTCCAAGATCATCAAGATCCAACACCACCGTGGTTACTAGACCATGGCATTAAGTACCACATCCAATCTCATCTTAAAAAACCTCCAGGGACAGAGAATCCACCACCTCTCTGGGCAGCCCATTCCAATGTCTGATTACTCTCTCTATAAAAAATTTTTTCCTAGTATTCAACCTAAACCTCCCCGGCACAGTTTAAGAACGTGCCCTCTTGTCCTACTGCTGATTGCCTGGGAGAAGAGACTGCTGCCCACCTGGCTAAAACCTCCTTTCAGGTAGTTGTAGAGTGATGAGGTCTCCCCTGAGCCTTCTCTTCTCCAGGCTAAACAACCCTAGCTCTCTCCTCATAGGACTTGTGCTCAAGTCCCTTCACCAGCCTCGTTGCTCTTCTCTGGACCTGCTCCAGCACCTCAATGTCTTTCCTGAACTGAGGGGTTGAGAACCGGACACAATACTCAAGGTGTGGCCTCACCAGCGCTGAGTATAGGGGAAGAATCACTTCCCTTGTCCTGCTGGCCACACTGTTCTTGATACAGGCCAGGATGCCATTGGCCTTCTTGGCCACCTGGGCACACTGCTGGCTCATGTTCAGCTTCCTGTCAATTCAAACTCCCAGGTCCCTTTCTGCCTGGCTACTCTCCATCCACTCTGTGCCCAGCCTGTAATGTTGCAGGGGGTTGTTGTGGCCAAAGTGCAGGATGCAGCACTTGACCTTGTTGAACCTCATCCCGTTGGAATCTCACCATCTCTCCAGCCAATCCAGGTCCCTCTGAAGAGCCCTCCTGCCTTCCAGCAAATCAACAGTCCCCCCCAACTTAGTGTCATCTGCAAATTTGCTAATGGTACACTCAATCCCCTCATCCAGATCATCAATAAAGATATTAAACAGGACTGGGCCCAACATTGATCCCTGGAGGACACCACTAGTGACCATCCACCAACTGGATGCAGTACCATTCACTACCACTCTCTGGGCCTGGTCATCCAGCCAGTTCTTAACCCAGCACAGAGTGCCCCTGTCCAAGCCATGGGCTGCCAGCTTTTTCAGAAGAATACTATGGGAGACGTTGTCAAAGGCTTTGCTGAGGTCCAGATAGAGTACATCCACAGCCTTCCCCTCATCTACCAGGCAGGTCACCTGATCATAAAAGGAGATCAGGTTGGTTGGACAGGACCTGCCCTTCTTAAACCTATTCTGGCTGAGTCTGATCCCTTGTGATGTTTTACTTCTTGTTATCCTGCTCTGATTTTGATTGGGAATAAATTCAAGTTGAGTCTGTTTTGCCCATGATGGTATTTGGTGAGTGATCTCTCCCTGTTCTTATCTTGACCCACGAGCCTTTTGTTATATCTTTCTCTCCCCTGTCCAGTTGCTGAGGGGAGTGATAGAGTGGCTTTGGTGGTGTGATACTGGATCCAAATCTCACTGAATTATTTATATGGGTCCAAACCAACTCACTGTTAGTGTGTGTGGGGGGGGAAGGACTGGGCCTAGCCCTGCAGGTACATGGTAAGGCCTGCCTTATTACATAAGGCCTGCTGAGAGCACATAGTCTGCAGCTAAGAGGGCTGGGTTCCTGAGAGCACATGGCAGAGCTGGAAGGCCTGCAGCCAACATGGTTGAGCCCATGCAAAGTGAATGGCTTCACTGAAGGTCATGTAGATGGGTTGTCAGTCAAGGTAGACCTGCCTGGTAGCCTGCCCACACCACATCCCTGGAGCCTGTGACTGGCTACAGCACACCTCACTCTGGCCTGCAAGGCACTGACCAGATATCCTGCCTGGGAGGGAAAACCAAACTGTATAAATACATGAGACTCCATGTGAGCTCTCTCTCTTTTCTCCTGCAGCCTGCACCATGTTAATCATCGAATCTTGTCAGTAACCATTTTTCCTTTTCTATCTCTCCTACTCTTTCTCCTTTCTTTCTTTACTCTTTTAATCTGTTTTCTTCTTTTACTATTTTCCTTCTCTTGTGGGTAACTTAAAACCAATGAATTGTGTTTTACTAAAGCTGATATATTAATTATTTATAGTGGGTGTTTTCTGTGGAATGGGTCTTTGTGATGGGTGTTTTAGTAAAATGCTTTTCTTCAGTTATATATTACCTGTTATATGTAAAACCTTTTGCCAAAATGTCTCTTTTTTTTCACTAAATTAAAAGAATTTCTCTTAGAGAAGAGTGTGTGACTCTCTCTCCAGATGCGAATTCGAGGTTATAAAAAACCAAAAGGCTTACACTTAGCCCAATGTAGTCTGTTAGATTTACCTAATGTCACTCACTTATGATGTATGTCATATATAAGGAGAACTTAGCTTTTTTTTTTAAGAAAAATCCATCACTATCCAGTACACTGAAGTACAAGAAATATATTTACATTGTAAAATTGATCATGTTTTAGTTAAATTTAAAACATTGTTACTTTACCTGTATGTTATGATTTTTGGGAACCCCTGGTGGTCTAGTGGTTAAGGGCCCGGCGCTGTCACTGCCGAGGCCCGGGTTCGATTCCCAGTCAGGGACACTCCCCGGGCAGATGGAGATCGTTAGCCCTGTAAAGGCAATCCATCTACGTCCTGAGGACCTCGCTGCCACCGTCCAAGCTTGCTTGGCCCCGGTAGATGAACCTTAGGATTAAAGGGTGGGCTCAGTTCCGCGCACACTGTGTCTCACCTAAAAAATCCAATGCGCAGGCTGGAAGGTGTAAAGACCTTCCCCGGATCTTCACTTGCGAATACTGGCCATTATTATATTATTATATGTTATGATTTAGCTAAATGAGAAAGATTGTCCTATTGAATTTCTTCATACTGATAGGAGAAATAGAAACTTTACTCACAGTATCCTGGAATGCCCAAATAAGGAACAATATAATCTTAGAGAAGTCCTAGAGAATTAAAAAAGGGATGCAACTCAAACAAACAGGATGTACACTAAGCTCTATGTACCCAAATAAGATAAAGAACAAATGTTACAGTTTTTGGTGGTGAAACACTACAACATTCAAGAACTGAGATCAAGATGACAAAGAAGACCTGGAAGGACCAGAAAAGGACTTCCAATAAGGATGTGACTATGTAAAGTAAACTAATGAATATGTATTAAGTGAGAATATCTAATGAATATGTAAACAGTATGTGTAATAAAAAGCCCTGTTGATCTGTCATTTGGTACATTCGATTAGAGTAGCTATCCTCTGAACGTCCAGCATGCCAAATAAAGAATGCCCTTTATAACACCTACAAATTGGGGTTAAGAAGTTTGTTGCTGCAGCTTTTTGGTATCAATACCATAATGTCATTTTGGAGAAGCATGGGGACACCCCTCCCCCCCTTTCCCTGTGCAGGGTGGTGGAGCAGGGAAGGGGTTTCTATTCCATTGGAGGTTCTACCCCCTGGGACACATTGTCAATAAACCAAGACACTGTAATACATTCCACTCATGCCATAATGATGTTAGTTTAGTAGCACATTTGAAATATTATTTAAAATAAATGTTAGTTGTTGCAGATTATGGTACAAAATGTTAAATATTGAATGGAAAATGCTGACATAGCTGCTGTGTATTATTGCATACAAGAGGATGCAAAATATTTTTCCATTGCTAAGCAGTCTTTGAAAGGCAAAATAACATTTCGGTAATTTTAGTTACTAAAAAAAAAAAAAGTCAAACTGGGATGCTAGAGAACATACTGTGACTTGCTTATTTTCATATCTTCCAAAAAAAAAAAAAAAAAGAAAGAAATGTGGGCAGAATTTGAGTGGTTTATGCACTTGTTTGTAAATGCTTGTATTTGTACTCACCTGGAGATCCTTGTCAGCTGTAAAGTCACAGAACTGTAGTGGGCGCCAAGAGTAAATCTGATGCTTCTGGAAAGTATTGACACTCTTTGCACCTATACTACACAATGCATAAACGTGTGAAAAAAAACAAAGCAGAAATGCAATGAATCACCTTCTGTGGATGTTGTCCTTGCACTTGAGATGAAGAAATGCCTATGAGAGTGAACTGTAACTTGGGGTTGAAGAAGAGCTTTATGGGACTGGGAGTTGCCTGAGTCCATCCAACACAGACACAAGGGTTTTTTGAGTGGTTTTTTTGTGGTTTTTTTTGTTTTTTGTTTTTTTTAAGAAGGAGAGAAAACCTTTGGGATGAAATGAGAGCAAGGCCTAAAGAGAGTTAACCAAGGTATCTTGCTCTGAGAAAACTCTCCCCTCCATATCTGCTCTGTTAAAGGAAATTTTGTTCAGTTCAGTGGACCCAAACTTGAGAAGGATGTTAGAAGCATTATACAATGGGTTTAGGGGTAATAAATTAGGGCAAAGTAAGCTAGGGTAGACATTTGGATAGGTGAAATAGACCTGAAGCCAAGGCAAAGTAAGCTAGGGTAGACATTTGGATAGGTGAAATAGACCTGAAGCCAAGGTTCTCTCCAAGCTTCAGTGACTGGGACAAAGACAATGGAAAGTTAGAGAGGTCAAACTGAGAAGGACTACAGAGACCCCAGCCTCAATGATGAAGAAAGGCGGATGTACCCCCAGAACTGAGGGCCAAGAAAAGCTCCACCCCAAGTTCCGCCTGAGCTCCGCCTATACTCCACCTATTATCAATATGTATGATTAGATGTTGCAATCATATGAATATGTATGTAAGATGTTGTAATCATAGAAGTTAGACTGTATAAATTACCCTGTTTTGTACCACTACCCTGGAGCAAGAGCTTTGTGGTGCGAACCATGCTTGCTCCCGACATCGACAAATAAATACCTTTGCTGCTCAAAAGACCAAAAGCTTCTGGCAGTTATTTTACCAGATTTCTCAGATTCGTTTGGCCACCCCAGATGGGACAAAGCTAGCTTCTCATCCGGCTGAAGAATCCACCGGAGGTCAGGACCCTCTCCTTGGCCACCCAGGTAAGCTTTTTACCTAATAAAAGGGTGAAACAGAGAAAAGGGTTTAAAGAGTTAACTTAGAGGGACCAAAATCTGGTTCCTGGGACCTTGCTCTGAGGAATGCAACATTCATGTTAAAATATAGCAAAAGCAGGGACCAGGTTCTAAGGATTAGCTTCAAAATATAGCAGTTTGTTCTGTTCTGTTCTAGTAAAAGACAGCAGAAAGGTCAACCTAGTAGTTATAAATAAAGACAGGATGGCATCCGGGGAGATAGAGCGGTGGCAGGTCAAGGGGAGTTTTGCAAACCCTAACTCGAAGTAAGTGAAACAAAGAAAGTTGAAAAGTTCACACGAGGAAGAAAAGCAGAAGACTCCCATCAGGAGGCTGAAAGAACAGGAACAACCACCTAAAGACTCCCCAGAAGACGATTCTAGAAGACTGCCTCAAGCTCTGCCTAAACCCTGCTTATTATGAATATGATAATTAGATGTCAAAAATTAATTAATATGTATATAGAAATGTTGTAACCTCTCATGAAAAATGCATAAATAACCTGACTTTTCACTGAGAACTTCGGAGCTAGTTTGTTTGTTGGTTAGCATCCCCAACGTTGCTCGAAATAAATACCTTGCTGCTTAAAGACAAAATTCGTCTCTTGAGCAGTTATCCTGTGCATCAGTTAATTTTTGGCATCATTCTTGGTGAGTCAGGCAGGAGTTAACTCCGCCGGTGCTGGAATCCAGGGGACCTGGGGACCCTCGGGGCCCCCAAATGGATCTTTGGTCGACGAGGCTCCCCTAACCCCTCGGCTTCTCACACAGATGGACATGACTTCTACTCAATATAAAAAGGTATTTATATTTGTTCTTTGGTTTAATTTGGTTGAGTTTACCCTGTAAGATGGAGACAGGACGCTGTTCCCTCAGGGTATGAGAAGGGACGCCTTCTAAAAGGGGTAATAGCCCCTGTCTGGTTTATCCCAGATTTGGTTTGCATTATGTTGTACTTGGCAAAAATGTTGTTTATTCTGACTTGAAGATTTGGGTAAGATACGCTCTTAAGTTTCCTTTGGGTTGTCTTAAGATTTGGGAAAGCAAGAGCTTCCTTCAGGTTTTCTTAAGGTGTTAAGTTTCCTTTTAGTTTTCTTCTTGCCCTGTTAAGGAATTCCTGGAATGTAAACAACTGTGTTTTGTTTTGTGTTATATGCTGTCTTGTTTTATGCTTAAAATTGGGAATCATTTATGGGAAGTGGTTCCAGTAATTCTGAACTAGTAACTGAGAACTTACCGTCTAAAGCCCAGAATCAAGATTTGTCCTTTTTGTTACTACTTGTTATACGTGAGGGCTTTATGCAACAATTGTGGTAAATATATTTTAGGACCAAGAGGAACACAAGAAATAAGATTAAATCAAACCCTAAATCTGTATTTTATCAGATGCAGGGTTAGTCAAAGCTTGGAAGAGACCGAGTGGGCAAGATATTATTGTTGTTCAACAAAGACACGTGTTTATAAGGATTCATTCAAATTTATTGTGAAACATGTATTTTGTGGTCCACAGGGACATCTCGTGACTTTGTGTGGTAACACAAACCGACCGCATAAATCTGTAAGATAGGGAAAACTTCGTTTTGTGTGTGTGTGTGAAGCATGTGTGTGCAAGAGATGCTGTCTTTACTGCGAAGCGAGTGAGGAGTTCTGCTCTGTGGTTCTGTGCGTCCGAGAGGACCCCGGCCAGAAATGGATGAAGCAATTGATTATTTAAAACCTTAGTAATTGGGAACTTGTGTGGGCTCACAACAGTGATAGTTCTCCTATAATTCATACATTCTTAGACTACAAGATACCTAAAAGGTCATATAATTCATTTTAGGAAAGCAGAGATGTTTTATAGCTTTTGACCTTGATGGCCTTACAAATGGTCTGCTTTATTTCTTTATGGGGGTGTAATTAAGTTTTACAATCTGTTTGTTTTATTCTTTTATTGACATGAATTTATGACTATGTATATAACAATCCCTCCCCTTTTTCTTTACCTTAATAATTCGTGTCTTTCGCTCTAATTTTGACAATATTAATTTTACACGTTCTTTATTTTGGTTTGTTGGATCCTGGGCAATTAATAACACTTTGGCTCTTTTCGCAGTTTCTGGATCCATTGGCATAGTAGATATCTGTATTCCCTGTACTATTGAGACTATCAATTTTATAAAACAGGGAATCAAACATGATAAAATATAATATTCATTAAAATGCATCTTTGTTTCGTTGCATATAGTAATAGAGTTAGAAGTTTTTGAATGTCTTTAGTCTCCATTTGCAGGTCTTCACTTGAATTTTTATTTTCAAATTCTCTGTTGGCTGCGTTGTCTACACAGGTTTTGAGGCTTTTTTAATTCTGGTGTAAAGTATTTGAAGAAGTTGCTTTTTTAATTTTGATTGTAGTGTAAGTAGTCAGCAACACTTGATACAGACTTCTCTTTTGGTTCCAGGGGTTCACCTGTAAAAGATCTTACATACACACAGTTTCTGGGTACAATATTATGAATTGGACCATTGGGGCCATGAGCTTGTGTCTTAAGGACAAGTTTTTCAACATTTTAAGTTGTTTTTGCAAATGTATAATATAATTTACTAATGTTTCTGTTCTCACTTTACTTGACACATCTTCCTATACTATATAGAGTTTTTCGAAAAGTATTTTTTTTTAATTAGTTCAGTAAGGATACACCCCAGGTCAATCTGAAAAAGTGTCAGTGAAAACGAGCAAATATTTAAACCCCCCTTTTCTGGGCAGTTCTGAAAAACCAATTTGCCATTGTTGTCCGGGATAATTACCTTTTCCTATTTGCCCAAGTTGAATTTTGTTATGGGTCCTTAGGTTGTTCTGCAGGCAAATTTCATACTGTTGGGTCACCTGTCTCACAGTGGTATAGAGGTTTTGTGCTATTATATTCTGGTTTAGATATTTGTATAGAGCTTCTACTCCTCAATGTGTTTTCTTGTGTTCTACCATGATAAGGGCCTATAAAATAGAAGAGGGTATTATCAACTCACCCTCCGGTGTCTTGGCTCATTTGTTTTCTTTTATTTCTCTTTCTAAATCCTGGATTGACTTTTGGTCTTCTTTAGAGTATCTAGGCTTTATATTAGACTGTTGAATTTGAATCTTACCATCAGGGATCAAAGACTGGATTTTACTTTCTTCTGCTTCAGCTGCCCTTTTTGCCTCTCGATCAGCCATGGCGTTTCCTCTTTCATGGTCAGTAATGCCCTTTTAGTGAACTTTGCAATGCACAATAGCAACTTTTCCTGGCAACTGGAATGCTTGTAATTGTTCAAGGATTTCATCTGCATATTTAATCAACTTTCCTTGCCCAGATAATAGTCTTCTTTCTTTTCAAATTGCCCCATGAACATGAATGACTCCAAATGCATATTTTGAGTCTGTCCAGATATTTATCTTCTTTCCTTTTGTGAGCTGCAGTGTTCAGGTTAGGGCTATAATTTCTGGTTTTTGGGCTGAGGTGTTGACACGGAGGGCTCTTGCCTCTATTACCTCATTTACAGTGGTTACTGCATATCCAGTCTTACGTACTTCTTTCCAGATAAAACCACTCCCATCTGTGAACCAGGAGTCCTCAGCATCCTCCAGGGGTTCCTCTTTTAAGTCCAGTCGCTGGATACACTGCCTCTATTGCCTCTAGGCAGTCACGTGTAACTGTATCTCCAGTGGTCCCCTGGAGAAAGAAGCTGGATTGACAATATTAGTGGCCACTATTTCTACATCATCCTGTTCAATCAGTATGGTCTGGTATTTCAGAACTGAGCTGAGAGCCAATGACCTCCTTTTACTTTTAATATTTATAACATTGTATGGGAGACTATGACTGTAATTTTCTGTCCCAGTGTGAACTTTGTGCTTCTTGTATGTTGGTTATCACAGCTGTTAATGCCCCTTAGGCAGTTGGGCCACCCCTGTCTTACTTCGTCTAATTGCTTGGAAAAAGTAGGCTACTGGTCTTTGGTATGGTCCCATATCTTGAGCTAAAATTCCAAGGGCAACTCCTTGTTTTCATGGGAAAAAGTAAGAAGGGTTTGGTAACCTTTGGTAACTTAAGGACTGGAGTCCTTATCAGTTCAAGAAAGGCTTTGTCAACTTCCTTACCCCAAGTGAGTATTTTGGACTCACCTTTTAATGAGTTCATACAGGGGCTTTACCAGAAGCTCGTAGTTGTAGATCCATAAGCAGCACCATCTGGTCATTCTGAGAAAGGTTCGGAGCTTTTTATTGTCTGTGACAGGGGAGTTTGGCAGATAGCTTCCTTCCTCACTGTTCCTAGGTTTCGTTGTCTTGCAGTGATTTTGTAGCCGAGGTAGGAGACCTGCTATATGGCTATTTGAACTTTCTGTGAAGAAACTCTGTACTCAGTTAATCCGAGGAAGTTTAGTATGCTAACAGTTTATTTTGTGGGAGAACTGTCCAGGCAAGTTGGACTTTCCTTTTCATGCAAGGATCTTCTTATTTAAAAGTGAATAGTAATTGACTTTCAGGGTTCAAAGGCAGGCAAAGGAAAGCATTCTTTAGATCCAGGACGGTAAATTATTCTAGCTCTGGTGTTAGTTTGATTAGCAGTGTATATGGGTTTGCCACTACAGGGTGCAAGTCTTTAGTTAGTTTTATTAATTGCTTAAGATCTTGCACTATCTTATATTTCCCATCAGGCTTCTTTACTGGTAAGATGGGAGTATTATATTTGATTCACACTCTTTCTACATATACTGTCTGAATTTTAGGTCTCTATTGGGGCAAGACTTAAAATCTTAATTAATTGCCTCTTTTATTTTGGATTTTATTTTGCCCTGTTTTAATCTCGACTTCCAATTGCTTTAGTATGTCTCTTCTTAGTAAAGAGACTGGTAAGTTTAGCATGTAGAAGAATTTTTGGATTCCAAATTGTTTTGTTTTAAAACTTAGGCCTTTTTCCATTTGGTCTGTGGTTCCCCTTACCGATATAAAATTTACATCATAAGGTATTAAAGTCTGGTTTAATACAGAAAATGTAGCTCCTGCATTTATTAAAATGTTGTTAAATTGTTGGGACAGAACATTTACGAATATAACAGACAATAACAAAATAATCTCCTTTGTTTACTTATTCCTGACTTGTTTCAGGAGTTTTTATTACAGTTCAAAACCTTCTTATTTCAGTGCATCTCATTTACAGTTGTTAAAGCATTCGTTCATTTCTGCACAAAAGTTGTTTTTATCCATACCACTTTCAGTCTGGGTTCTGGTGGCACAGTTCTCAGGTTTGTCTGTTTGAAATAAACTTTCTGCAAACAGACAACTTCTGATACATTGTTAGTTCACATCTGAGAGCAAAACAGTGTCTCTCCTGATTTTTGTCACAGCCCCCCTTTTCCCATAAATACAACTCCATTTACTCGGGCTGTTATATTCCCCCTTTTTTGTTTTAAAAGCATGATTTTCAATATAGAACACACATCAAAACCTATTTCTATGTACATCTCTTAAGATAACGAATAATTTGGCATTGTTTTAGGTTTGTGAGAATTCTCAAAAGCACAAATCTTGAGCTACAAGCCTCCCCTCCCCCAGGGTGTTTCCCGAGTTAAAGTGGCGTGCATTTCACTCTTTCTCTCTGAGTGGCACCTTCTAATTGTGACGCTGATTCACACGTGACCATTGCATGAACTAAAATCATAACAGTTTATGATACCAACTTAATACTAACAATGGCTCTGTTGCAGGTCTTCTAAAAATTAGGTTCTCAACAGCAAAACCACACAACACTTTCTTATGCCACACTGGCAAATACAACCACAGACCCACTACAGCAGGGCTTCTAATCACAACCCAGATTTCTAATACAAATATTAACTAATCAATCAATTCGAAGCCCTAGCCTCTTTCCTCAGCCCGCCTGGGAGGGGAAGGCACCATTCCTCCCTGCCTCTGACCCTCTCCTCTCAGCCTCGGTACATGCAGCTCCCTCCTTCTCTCTCTATTGATTCCAACACTGATTTTAACCTTCTTTTTAAAGCTTAAAATACACCACAGAAGTAACCTCCCTCCTCCCAAGCTACCAACCTACCAAAGCTACCAAACCCAAAGTTGATTTTTTTTTTCTTTTTTGTCACAGCAGACACCGCTGTTCCAGCTCTCTTGTCTGCCCCCCCCTCCCCACTCCTTCTTCTCCACTTGGGGGAGGTGGAGGAGTCAGTTTTCAACTGCTTCTGGGCTTTGTTGGTCCCTTCATCTCCCCCCTCTTTTCCCAGTTCTCGCACTGTGGTCTCAGTCCCGGCACGATTTTTGCTACCAGATTTAAACTTGTTTCACGAGAAGCATGGTAAATTTCTCTCTCTTTGTTTCACTCACTTTAATTGTATTTTCT